TATTTTCAAGATGTCCAAAATTCATATATTTTAAAGAAAAATAATTAAAATTAAATCTATCTGTTATTATCATTTAAAAAATTAAATCTCATCATTCTGAACCTAATTTTCGAACTCGGAATATTATAAAATAATTTAAAAATTTGTAGTTAATTGTAAATTAAATAGTACATATATATATATAATTAGAAGAACAAGAGCTTCTGTGTGTGTGTGTGTATATATATATATCCCACTGGTTAATGCTTAGTTGGAGTCCAGCTTGAATCCATTCGTTGACAAAAATTAAGGAAGCAGTTAATAATATATTCTTCCTTGTGGAACTCTTCTTCGCATCTTCTTCTGTCAAAACCACCACCCTTTTATAAAAATTTTAATCATAATTATTTTTGTACTGTTAATTAGTTATTTAGTATAATTAATACTCCGGGTAAATTTTTAGTATAATTAATACACCTATTGAGTTAGTCATTTAGTCAAATTAAAATTTTAAAGTGCTTATTTATTCTTTGTATGAAGTTGTCAATAATAATCATAATACATTTTATTTTTTAAATAAAATTGTTAATTAATTAATTATTAAAATAAATAAGTATTTCAAATAATAAAATAAAATAATTTAAAAAAATTATAACATTAACACGTCTCATTTCCTAATATTTCTTTATATATATATATATATATATATATATATATATATATATATATATATATATAACACAATGCTTAGCATCCTCGTCAAAGCAGCTTCCATTCCCTACTAGTCTTTCCCAAAACTACTACCCACCGGACAGAAATTGGGAATGGCAGTATCGATTTGCTCAACTGGCAAGACTTCTTTTTGTTTCATTTTGCATCTAAAGTTTGTTTTTGACCTTTTGCAACTTGGAATCTCTCAAGGTAACGTTCAATTATGATGTTTACATGTCCAAACTGAACTAAATTTCGTTGACTATGTCCAAGAGTTTTTTCATGCACTAATGGGCAAATGACTATAAAATCTAAATTGCTTTTAAATATACCTGGAGACTAATGGAACTTTTGTAGTCGGTAAGTCTTCGATTAAGGTACTTTCATTTGTTTACTGAGTAATTATGGCTGAATATTAGAGTGACAATATCAAGGCCTCGGTTTAGTAGAAAAAATCAGCAATTAATTTCAGTTGACTTTTATCGGAGGAGAAAACTTCAGTGTGTTCCTCTCTCTCCTTTAACCAAATATGATATTTTCTTTCTAGTTTTCTCCTTTTCTTCGTTTTTAGTTTTCTTGCTTTGTTTTTCATTTCTTTTAAGATTTTTTAGTGGGATCAACAATACACACGTTCTGTGACAAATTGACTTGAAGGCTTAATCTTCAAATATAGTACAAACTAAAACCTTCAGCAACTACATCTCTTCCACTCTTAGTTGTTTTCAACTTCACACAAGTAACCTATATATGCATAATGATGCTAAAAGCTTATTTTTATATGGTGGCATATTTAATATAGTTATCATACCTAACTTAAAATACTCAAATATAGCAATTTTTAAGTATTAAGAGCATATAACTTATATGGCTTGATATTTGTTTAGTTTGACTCATTGAATTCTGATTCATAAAAGTAATTGGAATGAGTAGTAGATGAGAATTAATTAATGCTGGGATTGATCGTAGCATATTCGAGTAACTCTTGGTTTGTCTCGAGAATTTTCATCTCTTCCTCATCCAATGTCAAGATGACTTCAATCTCGTCGCGAGACCTTGTGTCCATCAATGCTACAGTATTGTTCACCATCTTGTTTACACTCACATGCCACAGCGCTTTCCCCCAACCAAAATCAGCATCATAAAGGGGAAACTTGCACCAACTCGAACACCGGTAAACACTCGTGTCTCCCATCTTCTTAAAAAACTCTTCTCTCTCTTTCAATTTCTCAAGAATTTTGATTATACCCTCTTTGCCTTTGAACTTATTTACGTCATTGTTGCAGAAATGGTTGAATGATTTTCTCATCTGAATCACCAACTGCACCAACTCCATGTCATTTTCTTCTTTCACCACCAACATAAACGGCCAAATGAAATTCCCCATTGCATTTTCAGGCAACAGAGGACTCATCCTCTGACGTAAATTCACTGCTTGGAACATCACAGATGGCTTGAATTCTCCCATATTCTTTGCCTGCTTAGCAGCCACAGCGCACTTCCAGATCAATGCAAGCACCATCTCAACCCGCGAAGCGTGACAATGCATCACCTGCTCGAATTCTGGATCAACTCTTGCCTTTATCTCCGCCAGCTTTGTAGCACTGAACACGAATCTTTTCATTGAAAATTTCTCTTCCTTGATGTTGATTGAGGCAGACATGTTAGGCAAGTCAGGTTTGCATGGCAGAAGGTTTGCTCCTAGGAACAGTTCTGGTACGACTAGTTCATTGTCACCTAGAGAAATCTTTGTCCAGGTTTGAAGGAGAGTGACGAGACTTGATAGGTCCGCTAACTTGTGTGTAAGGGAAAGACTTAGAGCAACACCTCCACAAATGAAGCTAGTGAACTTGACGAGCAACATGGCACCATTAGACATGGTCATCGTTTCATGATCACTGGTGGGTAAAAAATGATCCATGAGATCAAAATCAGGGTGGCTAAGGAAATCAGAGAGGGCTAAGTTGGTTTGGCCTTCGATAAAGTAAACACCTTCATCGTTGCAATCAATGGTGGTGGCATCTCGGAGGCGGCCAGCTAGAGGGTAGATGAGATTCAAGGTTTTGGCGAGTGATTCTTGAAGAAGTTTGGATTTGGTGGAGAAATCAGTGGAAGAGTTTGAAGGGAAGAAGAAAGTCATGTTGCCATGGATAGGAGGAGCGAGTTGGTCAAGAAAAGACAGCCTGAAGTTTCTGAGGTTGGTAAGTGTTGAATTAGAGGGTATCACAAATTGTCTGGATAGGATTTCAGACTTGATTTCAATCATCTTTCTTGACCTTGATTTTCTAATTCTGTTTGCCTTTAGGTTGAGATGTTTGCTTCTTTTATACATGGGAAATGAATAAATTACATTTAAAAAATCTTGTAATAACTTATAAACTTTATCCATCCGTATTATTATGTTAAATCAAATCCTACCAACTTGGCAACTGGCAATTAGGGGCAAAATATCAATAATCTATAAGTTGATATGATTGTGTTAGTTTGTTACGTGTGCTGTTTAATGAAATTATATTAGTTTATCAACATGTTTGGTAGATATAGAATATATAAGTATTAAAATAAACTTATTTCTAAAAAATATTTGGTAATTTATATCTGAAATGAATTGAAATTTCTTCTCTAAGAAGAGATGTGCGATTTAAATGCAAAATATTAAATATAATTTTATAAATTAAAACCACTAACATTAATTAATTAATTTAAATTGAATATTAAATAAAATTTAAATTAAATGTCAACTCACTTTTACCAGGCCAAACTGACCAGAAATATTTAATTTATTTTTTCCTTTCAGTCAAACCAAATTGGAAACGAGGCTACCCTTTCCTTTTTTAAAAAAAATGTTGGACCGAGCCTTCCCACTGAACCTTATACATATATATATATATATAGTATCTAGTACTGTGTCTTGTAATATATATGCATGTACATATTAATGCCGATTGCCAATTACATAGATTTGTTATTTGTGAATATAGTATTTTTGACTTTGATTATTTTATAATATATGATTTAATAGAAATTAAGAATTTAATTTATTAATATTTTGATTGAATTATAATAATTACAGTTAAACTAAATTTTAAGGATTTTGTTATAATTTTGAGAGAGAAAAATATTTATTTAATTTAATTTTTTTAAGAATAAAAATAAAAAGATAAGTGTATTGGCATTTCTTTCAGCAGCTATTACGGGACAACTTGAAGAGTCGAGGGAATTATAATATGATTTTTGTCAGATTAGGTTGCAAAATCATTTAATAAAACAAAATTTGTTGAAACTGTCAATATAAATTATTTAAAAAATGTTAGATGAAATGGTAAGTGTTATTATCAAAATACTACTACGAAATTTAGCCAGTTGTGAGTGATAATGACGGCCACAAGTCGAAAAATATAGGGGCATTAAGAACTTTAAAACTATATTATTAAATAATAATATTAATGATGCAGAGACTAATAATAATAATTGTAATACCCAGTATTTAAACTAATTTTAATCTTGTTAGTTTAATTTAATTAATGAGTATTAAAGATATTATTGTAGCCTCAAGAAAATTATTTAATACACAAATAGTTATTTAAGATAATTAGATTTAAGAAAAAATATTGAATAATAATAATAATTAATTAAAGATAGAAATAAACTAAAAACATTTTAGAAAAATTAAGGGAAACTATAAATTAAAAGGCCCAAAATAAAAGTGTGATAGAGTGTACAAACAACATCTTTGTCACCAATTTTTGTATGTCTAAAATGAATTATTTATTGTCTGATTAAGTTATTTTGTCTATTTTGATGTACGACCGGAGTTGGAACCTAAAGGCGGGAAGAACTGCAGGAAACAATAGTGGGAATCGCAGAATTACCATCTATCACGGTCTTGGCCTTGGGCAAGGCTAAGACCCCACAACTGCAGCATGCATTGGCATCCATACACAATCCTTGCACAAGGCTTGCACTTCAGCAGAAATAGGAAAACACAACTAACCCTTAGGCATGGTTTACAGCCAAGTCAGCAGAAGGGACCCAAGTAATGATCCACTAAGCCTTGACTAAGGCTAAGGCGACATTTAAATTTAAAAGAGTCGTGCGCAATGGAAACAAACCTTACTCTAAGCTTACGCATCGACTTGTAGTGCACTTAAAGAAAAGGCAGGCTTTTTGAAAATCTAAGGAAATATCCTCCTTACTGTGATCCAAGGGTCGAAAATCATGAGGAAATCATTCGATAAAGATAAGGATATACTGAAATCAATGAACAGGATCGGAAATAAAGGAAAGAAAAGAAAAAAAAAACCTAGACTCTCGATGACTATAAAATAGGCAGCTATTAAAGTAGATTTCCCTGCTGCTGCACTTTTTCTTCTTCATATTTCTTCTTTCCTTTAATCCCCAAGAATTCTTTTGTATTGAAAAGCCCACCATGAGTGGTTAGTTTATTTCTTTTCCTAATTGATATTTAGTGAACTCCAATGATATATTTGTAAGATCTAATTAATTTGATTCATGTTTTATTCAATCTTTGGTATTTATTTACTTCCTGTATCTATATATACTTATTGCTTTGTTCGAACGCATCTAGAAGTTACAAACAACTAGCCGAATCACTCAAATCCGTAATTGTTTGAGTGATTCTAGTACTTAACAGTGATCAGTGCCACACTGAGGAGGTAAGTGACCTGGTTGACCAGTTCACGTGGATGAATTTAGTAATTTGAATAAGGTTCTTCTACTTTTTAAAGTTGTTGGTAAGTTAAATCCTATGGACATTCCCATGACTACTTAGCAGTGAAAAAATTAATTAATGAACATTTCTTAATTGGGTTAAAAATAAGGAAGAATTAGTTATCGAAATGTTTTCGATAACTATAACTGGTTTCTCATACCTTAAATAAAACTAATCCCTACATCTATGATCAATTATGTTACTAGAGTTTTATTTCATCAACTAAGAATCCTCTTTATAATTGCTTAGATTTTAACTTGCAGCTGAGATTTTGCTCAACATCGTTTTACTTATTATTCATTTTATGTTTTGTGTAATTAGTTTCATAAACCCCCTCTTGTTTACTTTTCAATTGCTGATCAAGGAAGAAAATCAATTTCTGACTCCATGTGGATTCAATTCTTTTGACCACTATTATGATTTGGTTTTATTGGTTAATTATGATTTTATTTTTTATAGAATTGGCATCCATAAAATTTTGGCACCGTTGTTGGGGAGCCGACATATAAATAATTATTTTTCCTTTTTATTACCAAGTCTGATTGTGAAAGACTGCTCCTTTACGATCTAGAGATTGAGAAGACCACTAGAAGTCTAAGAAGGCAGACTTGAGAGAGAAGGGAAATATATCAAGACAGCATGCCATCTTATTCGCCTGAGATAAAAAGTATGGAACAAGAATGCACTTTGAGGGAGCTAGCTGCACTGCCTACCAACCAGCAGCCCTTTTGCATCACTTACCCAGATTTAAACGTAGCATTCAAGCTGAAATTTGACTTAATTCACTTATTACCCAACTTCAGAGGTTTAGAGAATGAAAACTCGCACAAGCACCTTAAGGAATTTCATGTTATGTGCTCAAGCATGAAACCACATGGAGTATCTGAAGAACAGATAAATTTGAGTGCATTCTTTTTTTAGACAATGTGACCAAGGATTGGTTGCTTCACTTATCACGAGGATCAATCACGACCTAGACAGATATGGTATAATCCTTCTTATATTGTTTCTTTCCAGCATTGCAGACAACCAGTATTAGAAGGGAGATATATGGAATTCGCTAAAGAGATTCCAAGAGCTTATATGATCATTGGGAAAGGTTTAAACGATTGTGCGTAAATTACCTACAACACGACATCTCGGAACAATCCCTTATTCACTACCTTTATGAAGGACTATTACCCACGAAAAAAAAATGTTAGACGTGGCAAGTGGCGAAGCCATAATGAACAAGAGGCTTCAGCAGGCAAGGGAGTTGATATTTGTGACATCCTAAATATTAATTAAAGCATAAGAGTGCCAAATACAGGAACATATTACGAAAGCATGACAAATAATTATATATAGTGGAGCAAATTATTATAAATCCTTTAGCAAAATATATATGAGTTTTAATTACACATAACTGAGGCCAGAAGTGGTAACAAAATACAAAATATCAAAATACAAAAAGGATCACTTCTTTCTCTATGTGAATAGACTCATCAAAGTGTGAGATAATTCATGCACTCAAGGTTTGTGGATCCACGGTATCCTCATAGACTTTAAGGGGTAGATCAGCGATCGGTTCCTCACTATCTTCCTTATCTGGGGGGCATGGAAATGGGTGAGTTCCATATACTCAGTAAGGAAAACAATAGTTAAATAACACCATAAGATTTTAAAAGTGAATAATTATATCATCAACACTTACCATTAGGGGTCACATTAGGGTCATTTCTTGCTTTATGAAAGTAATTTACTTATTAAAAAAAATATCATATCCATCATATCATTGTCACAATAATCAAATCAATCATGCTAATAATAGAAAAAATTAAATAAATTATGAAATGCTTAGATTTTTGTGTCATGCTTCGTGAAGTCGTTTTGACTTCCATCGATTGAGGGTAAATACAGATTTCTGACTACTCATATGGAATAACCAGATAAGATATATAACGACAATTTGGTTACAACACATTTTTGGTTTGTTAAACTATGGCACGATTTATACCCACGAGCGTGCCAACCACAGTAGTGCTATCAAATATTCTATAGTCACGATAATATTTAGCCAAATATGACCCCTAATAGATATTCGCGTCACCACTCTCGGCAGAGGGTACACCGTCATTCACAGGGAAGGGTCTTCTCACATTTTTCAAGACTAGATGGGGGAGGGAGAAACAGAAACCCCTTAGAGATAAAAATCCTAAACGAGACACTTCATGCATTATGCAGGTCAATATAGATATATGTTTTTCACACCATTTCATGCTCAATCTCTTTTTTGTACTTTCAGAAAATCATCACCAAAAATCATGTGATTTAAATCACATGCAAATTACTAAGTGTCTATATAATCTTATAA